TAGTTTGATAACAAAACTTATAATCCCAATTAACCTGATAGTCAACCAACTTTTTAAGTTGCTAATTTATATTAGTTTAAATTTTTAAAAATATGAGTGATTATAGTTTTACAATGAAAAAGTTAAAAAACTTTGAATCAGTATGATTATGGTTACCATTAGTTTAGTCTCTTGTCCTATATAAATCACCATTTATAATTAATGTCATCATTGTCAAGGGTTTTCGTAGTAATAATAAAGACACTTGATTTCATGTTTGATAAACAATAGATTGATAACACCAATGAAAAATAATATATAACTAGAAATTATAAAAATTTTGTTCCTTAAAACTTTTTGAAGGATTAATTATCTTTATGTATCTTTTCTCCTTAATTTATTTTAATTTTTATTTTTGTAAGAATCCCTTGTTGTGTCATACGACACCAAACCACACAACAATTACTTGTTTTTGTAATGAGTTGGACCACCCACTTATATTTTTTTTTATAAATAAAATTTTCTTTACTAATAAAAAAATAATTTGTTCTTAAATAAAAAATGACATCTCTAAACTCGAGACTTTATTCAAGTTATCCATCACAAAACCAGTCACTCAATTTTTTAGTTAGTGTAAAAAATTAGGTAACTATTTTGTTAGAGTTATGAGTTTGGTGACCTAAGTATTAATTTTGACAAATTCAGTTGGCTAAAATGTTGAATTTGAAATTTGAGTGATATATCATATGGTGGAAGCCATAATTGTACTCAATGTTAGAATTAAATCTAGTAATTTTAAAAAGGTTTGGAATAGATTTTGGTCTAAATAAATGGGTGGGACAATATTTAATATTTATAATAAAGGGTAGGAACTAAATTTGGTAGTTATCCCTAAATATATATATTTTTTCGTTTTTCTATCTAATGCTCCTATTGTGCACAAGTTATAAGAGGATTAATTACACTCTTTTTTATTACTAATTGTTATGAAAAAAATAATAAAAGTTAATTTTAATTTTATCAGTCACTCAATAAAAATTAATTATAAATGCTTCTCAAAAAAATTAATCATATATGTGCATGTCATCATTGATAAAAATTAAATTAAATTTTGTTTTTTTTATACAAATTAATAATAAAAAAAAGTATTCTCAATATATCCCACAACCCCTTTTTTATACTATTATGGTTCAAATATTTTAACAATTGATAAAAAATCTAAACTTAAATAAACACATCCACGCACATCATGTAGATATATAGAAAAAAAAAATATATATATATATATATTTATATTTATATATAACAATTCTAGCACAATGAAATGAAGTTAATTAATATCCAACCAATGTAGAAGTGAGTCTGGATCAAAACAAAGATGATCGCTCTCCATTTTCCATGTAGCCTTATCAAAAGTTTGGATTGAACTAGTCAGCTCCTCTGTATAATATAGTTTATTAGGATCATCATCAATTGGTGCAATACTGCTAGGTGAGGAGGCAGGCAACTGGTCGCAGTCATTCTTTGTGCTTTGAGCCGTGGCTGCTAGGTGAGTCTGCCGAATAATATTATAAGGCTGATCTGCTGAATCAAGCGGCTGGAGATTGTACTTCATGGCAGCTAATTCAGAAGAATGAGTTTCCTGGGTGTAGGGATATCCTGCAAAAGTCGATAAAGCTGCTGACTGGAAGTTGTAACTCTTCACTAATAAGCTAGTTGCTGCTGGATGATAACTCTCCTGAATGTAGGGCTGGGCTGAAACAGATGCTGCGGCTGATGGCTGAAAACAGCTCGACGTCATTGACGATGTAGATGCAACGGCCGCTGCAGGTTGAGTACGACTCTCTTGAATTGTCGTCCGTGGGAAGCGAGCAGTACTACTGGAGGAAGCATCGATCCTTTTCCGCTTGACAGGTTGCCCAGATCCAGAGATGACAAAAGGAGGCATAATTTTCACTTCTACATTCTTAGAACTTTTCCTGCTGCGGTAGCTCTTTCCGTTGCAAGTTACCTGATCCTCTCCATCTCGTTTCACCTTGACCTCCACCTCCACCTTCTTGGACTCTGAGTCTTTCTTCTTCTTATACACTCTACAAAGGACAATATCATCAGGGTTGTTGCATCCTGCTTGCGCAATTAGGGATGGGTTGAGTACAAATTCTTGCATCAACCAGTCGGTTTTGTCCTTTTTATTAGGGCCAACGCAATGGTTTAGATTGTTCCTCTTTCCCCAGAGCATCCCTTGTTCCATAACATCATCACTTCCATTCACTTTCCAGCAAGCATTTTCTGCGCACTTCAATTTTCTCTCGTTGTTCTTCGTGTTTTCCGCTCCTGCTGCTTTAGATTTCTTTTCCCTTGCATAAAAATAGTAACCCTCGTTTTCATTCGATTCCATTCCTGAAAATTTAAGCATTAATTAGAAATTAATCAAACCCATTACCATAACTCGTATTAAAATGGTATCAAATTTATAATTTATATATATATAAAAATAAATAAATAGTACAATATCATAAGTTTAATAGAGTTTAGAGACCTAATTATATAAGGTAATATAAAAAATTATATTAATACATAATATTTATAAGATTATCGTCATATATATTTAAATGAATAAAAAGACATTATTAAGTTGATGTTATAGTTTCTCAATTAATTCAAGTACTAATTTTTTCTATTTATAAATA